CTCTCTCTCTCTCTCTCTCTCTCTCTCTCTCTCTCTCTCTCTCTCTCTCTCTCTCAATAAGTGCACTCTGGTAAATCGTACGATAATATGAAAGATCGCGCGATCGCGATCATACGTTGCGTATGTGTGTGGCTATATCTACGTTCTTTGCAAGGTCATCATGTTTATCTGAATTTCCATGGTAATGGAGACTCCGAATTACGGTCACTTTATGCGATGATTTTTAGCTCTATACCCAGTAAACAAGAAACATTCCAAAACATTTTATTAACGTTGCAGCAACGTTGTAACGTTACTGAAAAGTTTCAAAACGTTTCTAAAACGTTTCTTGCTTAGTGGGTATATAGTGTAAACGATTTAAGAAATCGATAATCATAGACGTATAAATTCATAATTTAATTAAGAAAATAAGGATCCTTTTAATTAGAAAATAAAGATACAAGTTATGCTGTAATAGCAATTTTTTTTTATATTTAATTTCTATTTCATTAAAATTACATAATCTGTTACTTTTTAATTGCGTTTTAATTTTGTGGACTATTTAAAGTCAATCTCCTTCTCTTCTCATTAACAACTATTTAATATATACACATATATACACATATATATACATATATTATTTCTATTTATAAATACTTGAGGATACAATTAACTTCCAGGTGGTATTACTGGAGGCATAGAAATTTGTATCACATATCCCACCGAATACGTTAAAACGCAGTTGCAATTGGACGGAAAAGCCGGTGCTGGTAAAGAATATACAGGAATAGCTGACTGTGTCACCAAGACCATCAAGACTCGCGGATTCTTTGGTTTATACAGAGGCTTGTCTGTTCTGCTTTATGGTTCTATACCAAAGTCGGCAGTGCGATTTGGCGCTTTTGAGTCGGTGAAAAAGCAATTGGTGGATGCGGATGGAAAGCTCAATCCACAAAGGAGGCTCTTCGCCGGCCTTTGCGCTGGTGTGTGCGAAGCTATTTTCGCGGTTACTCCGATGGAAACGATTAAGGTGAAATTCATCAACGATCAACGTTCGGCGAATCCGAGATTTAGAGGATTTTTTCATGGAGTTGGCATGATTGTGAAGGAACACGGTAAGGGAATTTAAATTTAAGTATAAAAAAGTTCCGGTGTTTCTTAAGTTTTAATATATTATATATTCTTATTTAAATGAATGTGATAACCTTAATTCTCTATTATAAACAATATAATTATAATAAGTTTGGCTCTTGGGAATTAGCGCTGTACTATGTGCGCGATAAATTTCAATATTATTAAATTGTATCTCTCGTATTTAATTAATAATTCGTATACATGTTTTGGCTAACTTTTTTTCTTAAAGATTTTTGCGCTCTAACTACCGCGCTTGACTCTTATATGTCCATTCCATTATTGTAATTAACTTCAAGTTAAAGATTCTAAAATTGTTTAATTTTGATTTTATTAATTCATGTTTTTTGTAATTTGAAAATGGAATACGTTTGAATTGTGATCGAATTGTAACGTGAAAAGAAAAGAGAAATATAGAACCATATAATAATTGAAATAAGTACAATTTAATCGTGAAATCCAGTTAAGAATTAACTTGTTTAACTGGGTCAGAGATTGCAATATAAGTTTAAACATATAGTTGATTTTACAGTATGTACATTGAGAAAAAAATGCTGTCGATTCAATTAAAGTTTATGTTACGGGCTGTCACTAACATAAGTGATTAATTCATGCGTATATTTTATTGATATAAAGGCTTGACTATTGAAATAATAATTTATGCCTTTGTGTCAATAAAAATATACATGAATTAATCACTTATGTTAGTGACAGCCCGTAATATAGACTTTAATTGAATCAACAGCATTTTTTTCTCAGTGTACATTATGATATAATCATGAATTCGTTTGTTAAATGATGACTGTATAAGAATGGCATATAAAAAATTTAAAAAATATATATAATTGATACATTAAATTATACAGAAAATTAGAATTTAAAATATTGTATATGTATTGTAGATAATGGTAATTACGGCTTAGATAAACGAGCGACTTTGTGACGCGATAAACAAGTGTGTAAATAAGTTTACGTTTGTTTATCGCGTCACAAAGTCACTGTCTGAATCTTTATATGTATGAAGACTCTTGTGTCTTTAAATATTTTTATATGCCAAAATTATTTTAAATGTTAATATAATGCAATTATACTTATAATATTAACTATAATATTGACAATATATATATATTTTTTTTAATGTAGGCTTCAAAGGAGTGTATCAAGGAGTAGTGCCAACAATCTTAAAGCAAGGATCTAATCAAGCCATCCGTTTCTTCGTGATGGAAACATTAAAAGACTGGTACAAAGGAGGTGACAATACTAAAAGTGTTCCTAAAGTAGTCGTCGGTGCATTTGGTGCAGTTGCTGGCGCAGCATCAGTTTTTGGAAACACGCCTATTGATGTTATAAAAACTAGGATGCAGGTATGTATCTTACATATTTATAATTTATATAAAAATGTGTTATTCTATTAATTGATCTATGTTCATCATAATGTGTCATTAAACTTCATTGTTCTGAATCTCTTTTCTGCTTTTAGGGATTGGAAGCTTCAAAGTATAAGAGCAGTATGGATTGCGTGGTTCAGGTGTGGAAGAAAGAGGGTCCAATGGCATTTTACAAAGGAACCATTCCACGATTGGGCAGAGTATGTTTAGATGTTGCCATAACATTCATGATATATGATTCCTTCATGGAACTTTTCAACAAAGTATGGCCTTAGGTCTGTCACATTTTGTATATACACGATACATTCTCTCAGATTTTACAAATATTGCTTTTATGTTGACTTATTTTTAAAAGCGTATTTGTGTATAACATATTTTTTAGATTAAGAATTTTTATTTATATTTTTATTTAAGATATATATTTGCGATGAGAATGTTATTTGATGGTAATGTTCATAACAGCCACATATCGAAAATCACGATGAAGCAAATGTGTCGCGAATGCATCTCTTTCACACAAATCGATTTTATTTATGAAGATATGAGCTTTTATTTTACATGGTATGATTGTGTGATATTACTACCTCCGGTTCTAGTTGCATTTATATAGGATGTGCAATGCACAAAAATCTTCAATTAACTACGAAAAATTATAAGCCTGTTCTATTTAACTGAACTTTTTGCACGGTTCATCTTTTCTCTTTGTTTGTCGAATGTGGATAGAAAAAAAAGAAATATGAACCGTGCAAGAACTTTAGCTAAAAAAAAAACAGACCTATTGTATTTTATTGAATTCATGTCGTGAATAACTTCGTTTAGAGAGTTATAGAACAACATTCTGCAATGACGTTACATTCCTGCAATCTCAGTCAAAGATACGAATACAAGAATATTGTTTTTATGACCTGTTAAAGTGTGAGAAAATAGTCCGTGTATAATAGATGTGTAAGCAATAACATGCATATGCCAATACGTAGATACATGTATTTATACATACAGAATATATTTATGTACAATTTTGTACAAAGGGACACAGCATTAATGACACTAATTAATGAAACAAGGAAAATTTTTCAACGATTTTAATTTTAAGTAATTTCTCGTACACAAAAATTTACATTGATGTTGCAGAGTAAATATAGAAGGATGTATGTTAATAAAAAAAATATTTAAGCTAATTTGTATTCAGTCTTCTTTAATGTGCAATCTCTTCTGCTAGCGAAATATAAAAAATAGCACACTTCGTTTTTTTATTTAACTGTTTAGTTTCATAGATTTTCCATGCGTTGCAATATCTTTATCTCGTTTTCAATAACGCAGTTTTTTTTAATCTAACTGGTTCTAGGACTGTAAAAATGATCTGGAAATTGTCGTCGTTTGGACGATTCTTTAAAATGCTCATTTGACTTTTCATCTTTATTCGACGTTTAAAAAACAATTTTTAAATGCAAAAATATTGATTGTGTTCGACACGTGGAGGATCAAAGGTAACATTAAGGTCTTCACGAATTATTAAAAAAAAATTGAGTTTTTATTCGTAAACTCATTCATAATATATGCATCAAAAGTCATAATTTTTAATCAACATCAATACAACTTTCCCTCTCATCGCATAAATAAAGATCTTCCGTCATTTACATTTTTTTGCATATATATACAGGGTATCCCGAGCGTCATAACGGTATCTCTGGTTAACGCCGAGTCTCAAAAGAGTTCCAAGAGCGTCCGATTCTCCAAGAGATTCTCCTCGATTTACAAGATAATTAATTAACAAATCTATATGGGATTTGCAAAGCGAAATGGAGACGATCCCCCTTTGGTACTCGAGGCGCGAGAGCGGCTGCTGTTGCAAAGCGGTGCATTGAGGTCCCCGTTGCGGGCCCTGTATTTTCGCACGCGTGGCGAACGTTTCCACGCGTATATGTGTATATTTATATGTATGTATGCGTGCACGCGCGCTCGTTTTACACGCTCGTATGCTGATGATAGTGTTGCAAAACGAGCGGGGCAACACACGGCCGGGACCCCATCGTGGGCTTGATGGGCTGGAGGAGAAGGAGGAGGAGAAGAGCGCATAGAAGAAGCAAACAGCACCGGGCAGGCGGCAGGCAGCAGTGCCGGCCCCGCTCTGGGCCCGACGGGGGGACCCGGGGTCACATTCCAAGATGGCTGTGCCTGAGGAATGCAGTGGGTGCCCCCCTAAGACGCCTGCCTCCCTCCTTTTTTATTAATCGGTCCCATTTGCCCGTTCTAGCGAAAAGAAATCTCCTTATTACCACTCGCGCGCGGTGAAACAATGTAACGCGCGTACACGCAGAGAGTTTAGTTTGCGAGCGAACGTCGAGGGAACGTGCCGAGGTAAGTCCCGTCGTGGGAGAGCGAGAGGGACGAAGAGAGGAGTCGCACGTTCAATCCGGGGCCTGATCTTCATGCCAGCACGCTGCAGATGATGCCCATGCCAGAGAATGCTACTAGCTCGTCTTAAGCAATGTCTCATAGGGATATCTCTGAGGTAATTATGAAATTCCTGTTGTTACTTTGGGTCCTATCCTGGATTAGGATGTGGCTCTCGTTTACACATTGCTCTTGTTGCTTGTTTTGATCGGTCTCCTTTAATTATCTTAAGTATTCATTAATTTATTCAAGTATTTTATTTTGATATTAATTCATATTAATCTTATTTTCTGTCTCTCATTGCAGAAAAAATAGTTTATACTTGTTAATCATTTATAATTACTAAGATAAAAAATATCTGATAGTATCTTCTTTATATATTTTTAACTCTATTTGGAACCTCCTAAAATTATATATTTTATTTTTTTTTAATATAATCTTATTATTAATTGTAATACTAATTAATGTTATTTTTTTAATTATTATTGATTTTATCACGTAGTTAAGAGTGAAAATAATAAATATGTTTAGTGATCGTTTATAGTTTCAGGAATCTTTAGAAATATATGATTCCTTATTTTAATTTATATAAACTTAGTTATTATTGATAAAAGCAGGAAATTATTTGCTCAAAAAATAAGATCGTGCCAATTTGATGAAGGTGGAGCCCGAAGGTACGTCGGCCTTGGCCGCTGGATCCAGGGCACTATTCTTAGAAACGGTACGCAGGAGTAATACGGCGTGCCAGAATGGAGATTACGCACTGGCCGCGACATTATACACGGAAGCCCTTGCCTTGGACCCCCTCAGTCATGTGTTATACTCAAACAGATCGGCCGCCAGGCTAAAAATGGGATTATTCGCGCTTGCATTGCAGGATGCTGTCAGAGCTACCGAGCTGAGTCCGCAGTGGCCAAAGGTATGCATTCTTATCCATATTCTTCCGTACATCTCTAACTTCGGATCTATAATAATCGGTTTTCAGGCATACTACCGACAAGGAGTAGCGCTGCAATGCTTAGGACGTCACGGAGAGGCACTCGTTGCTTTCAGCACGGGATTAGCTCACGACGCATCCAATCATCAATTATTATCGGGCTTAGTAGAAGCATCTCTGAAGTCTCCATTGCGACCGACTTTGGAGCCGACGTTCCAACAATTACGCGCTATGAAACTCGACGAGTCTCCATTCGTCGTCATATCCGTGGTTGGTCAAGAGCTGCTTGGAGCTGGACAATACAGGGCGGCCGCTGGCGTGCTGGAGGCCGCGCTCACCATCGGTTCATGCAGCTTGAAATTGAGGGGCTCTGTATTCTCTGCTCTGTCCAGCGCGTACTGGGCACTAAACTCTCTGGACAAAGCAATCAACTACATGCAACAGGATTTAGGTAAGTAACAGATAAATTCTTTTTGGAGCGGAAAGTTTTGCGTTAATTTCTTTTTAATTTGTAATTTATGAATTTAGCATAAAGCAAGCTTATGCACTGATTGATTAAAACTTTCAGGAGTGGCGCGTTCCCTGGGGGACACGCAGGGCGAGTGCAGAGCCCATGGGAATTTAGGCTCCGCTTATTTTAGCAAAGGTAGCTTCAAGGAGGCTCTAACGGCTCATAGGTACCAACTTGTTCTAGCTATGAAATGCAAAGATACGCAGGCAGCGGCTTCGGCCTTGACCAGTCTGGGACACGTATACACGGCGATCGGTGATTTGCCGAATGCCTTGGCCTCTCATAAACAGTGCGTGCAATTGGTAAAGCAGATGGGTGATCGACTGCAAGAGGCCCGCGAGATCGGTAACGTCGGAGCGGTTTATTTGGCAATGGGAGAGTTCGAAAGCGCTGTCGACTGCCATACGCAGCATTTGAGGATAGTTAGACGGCTGGGTGATCGCGTGGAAGAGGCGAGGGCCTTCAGTAACTTGGGATCGTCTCACCACTATCGTAGAAATTTCGGGCAGGCGATGGCTTATCACGAAAACGTTTTGAGAATAGCTCAGGAACTCGGAGACAGAGCGATAGAGACCAGAGCATATGCGGGATTAGGTCATGCCGCCAGATGTGCAGGTAATAATGATTATTATTGAAAAGTACAATATATTAACATATTCCTATTTCTAACTTTCCTTTATATTAACATAATTTCATTAAAATATTTAGGTGACTTGGCGCAAGCCAAGCTCTGGCATCAAAGACAGCTCGACGTCGCGTTGGTCACGAAAGACAAGGTAGCCGAGGGACGAGCCTGCAGCAATCTAGGCATAGTCTACCAACTACTCGGTGAGCACGATGCCGCCTTAAAATTACATCAAGCACACTTGGGAATCGCGAGATCATTAGGAGATAAGGCCGGTATGGGAAGAGCATACGGAAACATCGGCAATGCTTATAACGCCTTGGGTTATTACGAACAAGCCATCAAATACCACAAACAGGAATTAACGATAAGCAAAGAGGTAGGCTTCTCAAGATAAATAAATCATTATTATGATATTCTTTGTTAATGAAAAATCTGTTGTTCAGGTAAACGATCGTAGCTCAGAAGCCAGTACACATGGAAATTTGGCGGTCGCGTATCAGGCAGTGCAAGGTCACGAAGCGGCGTTAAGGCACTACAGAGCTCATTTAGCTATAGCGCGCGAACTGAAAGATACGGCTGGTGAGGCGTGTGCCCTGCTAAATCTCGCCAATTGTCTTTCTTCACGTGGCAGATTTGAAGAGGCGGTGCCATATTACGAGCATTATCTAATGCTGTCGCAAGAATTGCATGACGTTGAAGGAGAGGCTAAAGCATGCCATTTCCTAGGATATGCTCACTACTGCCTGGGAAATCATAGGGAGGCAGTTAGATATTATGATCAAGATTTAGCGCTAGCAAAGGACTTACAGGATAAATCTGGAATGGGTAGAGCTTACTGCAATTTGGGATTAGCTCACTTGGCACTGGAAAATCTGGACACCGCTTTGGAATGCCAAAAATATTATTTGGGTAACACTTTCTCTTGCTTTAAAATACATAAATATATTGTGAACATTTTATAATTATATATTAATACACATTAAAAGTAGGAAAATAGATATAAAAAATAAAATATATAATGATAAAAAATACATTGTATCATTAATTTAATTTAGCGATCGCACATATGACCAAGCATCTGGCTGGTAAGTTTCGCGCTTTGGGAAATATTGGCGATTGTTTGTTGCGCATGGGAGAGGTTGACGAAGCTATCAAGATGCATCAACGTCAGTTGAATTTGGCACGTCAAGCTGCCGATCGTTGCCTGGAAGCGGCTGCCTATGGTGCATTGGGGATCGCTCATCGAGCTACGAAGAACTTGGACAAGGCTCTCGGTTTTCACACGCAGGAACTAACTCTGAGACAAGAAGCCGGTGACTTGCGTGGCGAGTGCAGGGCACATGGAAACCTGGGTGCTGTGCATATGGCACTGGGACAGTACACTCACGCGGTCAAGTGTTATCAAGAACAATTAGAGAGAGCGAAGGAACTAGCGGATTCTGGAGTTGAAGCCCAAGCATTAGGTAATACAAATTTATAATATTTAAATTTGTATAATTTAAAATTAAACAATTAAGACATATATTTAAAATTTCTCACTTAAGTGAGAAAGGTAAATTCAACAATATATAATATATATACAGAACGTGACGTACTAGAATGAAGAAGAAAATAATTCTTTGTATAAAAATATAAAAATAATTTTTTTTTAATCTTAATATTTTTTTTCTTCTTACATTGTTACTTTTTAGGAAATTT